CCACCCAATTTATGCTTAAATGTCACTTTCTCAAGAGGCTGACCTGATCCTCAATTTCAACTAGGTCCCCTTGTTATGCTCTTGCTGTACCCTGTGCACCCTTCCTGACATTTATCAGTTTGTTTGTAGTGAAGAATTCGATGACTTAATTGTTTCCTTCTCACATTTGTGGTAGCTAATATTTATTAAGGGCTTGCCATATGCCAAGTCCTGTGCTGAGGGCTCTATCAGATGATATCATAACAACACTATGTGCTAAGTACTGTCATTATCCCTACTTTGTAGTAAACTGAGGCAAAGAGAAGGTAAGTAACTTGCCCAGGTCACTTGGTAAGTAGCAGAGTTGGGTTCTGACTTCAGAGCCCCTGCCCTTTATTAACCACTACCCTTCACATGTTCAGGACTAGGATCGCCAGTGCATGCTTGGCTCTTACTAGGTGCTGAATAAATATTTGTAGACTAAAAGAGGAGCTTAGAGCACATCATCATGTGAAATTGATCCATCTTGAGATTTTGAATTTAGAGTGCCCCTTTTTCAACCATAATTTCTAACCCAGGGTGGGTAGGGTGGGTGTCAGTGACACCAGTCTCTCAGGCCCTCACCTATTGTGTGCAACCTGCTCTTCTTGACCTCTGACACAGCAAGAGAGGAGGGCCACGTCAATCCTCCACTCCACGGTGCTCTACATGGCCTCTCCTTCCTGGAGCTCCCAATGTGGAAATTCTCTGATCATGCTCCTTATTTTGAAAAAAATGGCTCCGTACTGACAAGCTTTGTGACCAGATGGAAGTTCTTCTCCTCCTCTGTAAAATATGGCGATATGGGGTGTAGGAGGAGTCAATGAGGTAGCAGAGGTGGCACATTCAGCATAGTGCCTAGCACATAACAAGAGCTCAAAAATGGTTGTTATTTACTCCTCAGCTCCCAGGGTACAGAGCTTTCTACTATCTCAAAGCATCTCCCAAACCTAAGCACTAATCTTGAATGGGGAACTCAGTGCAACTCAGCAATCCCTTTACCATCTCCTGTAGGCAAAGATAATCATCAGATACCTACTTCTGGCTGTATCTTCCCTTATCTGCTTAATCCTATCCCCCCTCCTTTAGTTTTTGACTATCTCTAAAATATTTCTATTTGGGTAGTCTCTGAACACCGCTTAAGCATCCCAGGAAACATTTTCTACTCTAAGGTCTCTCTGCCACTGAACACGAGAATCACCACAGCTGGCATCTGCGATTCATTAGCAAAAGCATGAGAGGCAGAATCCTCATCAACCGGCAAGTTACTTCACCGGCTGCACCAGGATCCTCATTCTCGGTGGGGTTATCGATTCCTCCTCACAGGGTGCTGTAAAGATGAAATGAGATGGGGGTATTTTGAAAACAGGTCAATACTTACACATCTGTCCTTTTGTTCATTTGTTCATGCCTTCATTCCCGATTGGTGGTGATAGTAAAAACAGGCGAGAAGAGCTCAAGCTCCAGAACGCAAAGGCATAGAAGTTTGACGTGTAGAGTAAGTATCACACCTAGCGAGTGAAGCTAACCAATGACCAGACAGAGCTGGTATTTATTATCTATGTCATCCACTTATATTATTAGGCATAGGGACCACTACCTTAAATTTAACATAGGTAGTAATCGTAGACAATTTAACTTGGCATGAAATAATGATTCAATAACACAAGTTTCTGGTAACCAGCAATAATTGAAGGGAAAAATTAAGTTTAAGAAACAGAACTGTGTCAGGAAGAAGATGCCCTTATTAGTTAATACAAGTGGAAACACTGACTCTTAGAGCCAAAAGGTAGAGAGGATTTAATATAACTCCCATGAGGCTGTGATTTAATCAGGGTCACCAGGTTTGGTCAATCACTATTACGAAACAGACTATACCAATTCATCAAAGTTTGAAGACAAGGGAATAAAATACCAATTTTGGCAATGAGATAGAAAGATTATCCTTATTTATAGATGCTACAGTTGTATATTAAAAAAACCAATCAACTGAAAACCACGAAGAAAAAAAATATGTAACAACAGTTTTTTTGTACATAGAAATAGTAGTAAGTACTGATATAGTTTGCAGTGAAACTAGTAGACTAACTTATTTTGGAAGCTCTCCTGAATACTGTCAGCTATTATAATTAAAATAGTGTGATACACACGCAGGAGATGACTGAATAATGGAACTGTTCTAGGAGTACTGGGAATTCGGCATATGATGTGACATTTAAAATCAGTACAGAAAAGTTGAATGATTTAATAAATAGTATTTGGATGTCTAATTGGCAAGGAGAAAAAAAGGAGTTGAATTGTTTCCCCCAACCCCCCCCCCCCCATATCTAAGTCTTTAATCCTGGTACCTACACACGTGATCTTATTTGGAAATAGTGTCTTTGCAGGTGTAATCAAGTTAAGATGAGGTCATACTGGACTAGGCTGGGTCCTAATTCAATGACTGGTGTCCTTATAAAGAGATTTGGACACAGAGACACGCAAGGAAGAACACTACGTGGCAGCAGAGGCAGAGGCTGGATTGTTGCAGCTGTGAGCCAAGGAAAGCCAACGACAGCCAGCCCCACCAGAAGCTAGGAAGAGGAGATCCTCCTCCAGACTTTCAGGTAGAATCTGGCCCTACTGAAACCTTGATTTCAGACTTCCAGTCTCCAAACTGTGAGAGAACAAATTTCTGTTGTTTTAAGCCACCCAACTCTGTGGTAATTTATTATGGAAGCCACAGGAAACTAAAACAAAATAATAAAGCTGGATCCCTATCTCATTCCTTATACACCCCCCAATACCAAAAAAATCACAAAACCTTAGATGTATAAAAGAATTAAATGTAAAAATGAAACAATGACCCCCAGACACTAGAAGAAAACATGGGTGAAAACTGGTATCTTCCTGGGAAGGGAAAGGATTTTTTAACAAAGGAAGGAAACATATATTTGACTGCATAAACATTTCAAACATCTGTGTGGCAAGAGACTTGGTCAAAGGCAAGACATTATAAAATAAATGTATAACATTATAAAATAAATGGCAGATAAAGGGTAAAATCAGTAAGAAGACATAAATAGCCCAGAATGAAACAAAGGACAAGATTAGTCACGTCATGGAAGTATAAATACCTAATATATAAAACATGCTCAACTTTACTAATTTATTAAAGAAATACAAAAAAAAAAAAAAAAAAAAAATGGGCCGGCCCGGTGGCGCACTGGAGAGTGTGCTGCTTGGGAGCGCGGTGGTGCTCCCCTGAGGGTTCGGATCCCATGTGGAGACCGGTTCCCACTCACTGGCTGAGTGTAGTGCGGGCGCAACACCGAGGGTTGTGATCCCATTGCCGGTCCCTGGTATGGGCGCGACACCGAGGGTTGCGATCCTGTTACCGGTCAGTAAAAAAGACAAAAAGGAAAAAAAAAAAAAAAAAAGAAATACAAATAAAACCATTCAAGTGTTTTACCTATAAGACTGGTAGAGATTAAAGACTGAAATCAGTCAGAGTTAGCTAGGATATAAAAACAGGTCACTTCATTCATATTTGGAGGGAGTACATATTGGTACAATCCTTTTAAAGGGCAGTGACTATTACCTTATTATCCTTGGCTATTTCAATTATTTTCATACTTTTGTTTCCCATTCTAATGTATTATTTCTCATTTAAGGATTTATTTTTTATAATTTTCCCACAAAAGATATCAAAGTCTGTCAAAGAATATGTACTTTTATAGAATGTGATATGTACTGGTATATCAGTTTGAAAAGCAATTCAGAAGACATTGCCCCCAAAATAAGTTAGAATACCAGTTTCACTGCAAACCATATCAGTATTTACTATTTTTTTTTCAGTAATAGAATAAAATAGCACTTCATTTTAATTTGCACTTTTGTGTGAAGAGAAATATATTCCCATGGTTTATTTGCTCATTTACTCATGTAAATTGTATTTAAAGTTTTTTTTGGTCCATGAATTCATGGGAATCTTTTATATTTCTATCCTCTTAGTAATTCCAAGAACTCCTTGTGTGATAAGGATGTTAGCTCTTGGTTTGCCTCTCATTGGGGATTCTTTCCACACCACACACCTTTAAGGCCTCCTTCACCCACTCCTATGGCTCTGACCACCACCTTTATGCTAAAGACTCCACAGTCCACACATTCTACAGCTAAATCTGCTTTTCTTCCCAAACCACTTGGATCAGTGTTCTGCACACTCGGTGCTTATCATTGAAATATAGATATAAAAGGATCATTTTTAAAGATCAGATTATTTTTAGGATTGTTTTAAAGATCAGATGTAAACAATCAGAAAATGATTCTATAGCATTAATACATGAAAACAGCAATGGATTAAAACTATTCTGGTTAACTATGAATGACTGCCTAAGTACTTGAATAAATGAACACAAAAATGAGTTTTAAAAATACTTTATTTAAAAAGCTCCAAATACAATGTTCAATAAAAAATATATACATGTTTCTATTTACATTCTCTATTAACTCTATTAGTTTGAATTAGATTTTTTTTTTTTTTTTCCTTTTTGGTCTTTTTTCGTGTCCGGCAACGGATCGCAACCCTCAGTGTCGCGCCCGTACCGGACTGGGACTGGCAACGGGATCGCAACCCTCGGTGTTGCTCCCACACCTCACTCAGCCAGTGAGCAGGAACCGGTCTGTATGTGGGATCCGAACCCTCGGGCGGGAGCGCCTCCGCGCTCCCAAGCGGCGCACTGTAGCAGTGCGCCACCGGGCCGGCCCCTTGAATTAGATTTTAAATTGAGTTTAAGCATTTAAAAATACTATACACATAAACTTACAAAAACAAATACCATACAGAGGCACAGAAAAGAAAAAAAATCCATTACATTTCTTGAAGCAGCTAGAAAGGATCCTGAAGTATCACCTGCTGTCACAGGAAGCAGGGGTGTTAAGAGTGTTCACTCCTGCTGCTAATCCACCTACATAGAGAGGTTCATATGCTACATTGTTTTTTGTTTTTTTTTTTAAAGTCTGTAGTTTTCAGGCCAAATGTGACAGTGCCAAACAGGCTCTTTACACACTTCTATCTAAACCAAGACACTGCATTTGGTTAATGTCAACTAAGATACAATTTCTGAGATCATGATCTTTTCATGAAATCAAAGCAGAAAAACTGTCCAGGAAAAGCAGATTTTTCAAAGTTGGTGCATCTTAGTTATTCTTATGACAATTCTTTGGAATGTCCTGTAAGTCTATAACCAATCAAGGACTCTTTACCACCGTCATCCACAAGCAAATCCACTAGCACATGAGGTTTATCGTAACCAAAAGAGGTGGGGGCAGTTCTCAGTGTTATGGACCCTTGCCCTTGTGTCTTTATTTCAGTTTTATTATTTGGGGTAAACTCTGAGTCCAATAAAAAGCTGTCTGATCCCACAAGGCCACTATCAGAACCATTTCTGGAGTGATATACGTTTAAAGTGACGCTGCAGGGTTCAGACTGGTTACTACTTGAAAGGAAAGAATCCTCTCTCTTTATTGGAGTCAGAAGGCTGCCAGAGGCCATGTCAGAAATGTTTTCTTCAGTAGTCACCACTTCTGTCTCACTGGAACATTCTTCTCTGTGTTCTACTTTTCCTGGACTGTCTTCAGCATGCATGCCTGAAATTGCTGCTGGAGACACCTGCTCATCACAGACCACCTTCTCATTTTCTGGCACAACTGGCTGGTATGATATGATGAGCGATACATATTTGGATTCAGGTTTTGTCTCTGAAGTGGCACTTTTTACCACAGAGAGCTAAGAAGAGAGAAAAAGATTAAAGATAACAAATTATTAAACTTACCTATCCAAAAAAAAAAAAAAAAAAAAAACCCAAACGTCTAAAGGATCACTAAATGGCATATTTAGGATAATATAATTGAATCAGGTGCTGGTTGCCTTTTCTTTTTTTTCTTTTTAACGAAAAGTACTATAATAAGAGTAAAAATAAATTTTTAGGATTTTTAAAAAGTCACCCAATATGTTGCTTTTTGTATATTACCTTCCATGTACAAGCACACTGCATTTGTAATGGGAGTACACCTGCTTATTTTATATATTTTCATTATTTGCCTTCATCATTATAATTTTCAGTGACTCATATTATTTCTTTATACTAATAAATAACTTCTCTAATACAGATGTTAGTTTCCAATTTTTACTAGTATAGAACATGTTGAATATTTCACACATCTTTATTTATAAAATTATTTCCTTAGAATAAATTTTTAAGAGTGAAATGACTATGTCAAAGGCTACAGCCTGTTTATGACACTATATACTGTATGTACACTGTATACCTTTACTTAACTTCCTACCAGGGCTATATTACTTTCCACAAGCACATACCAGTTATACTACTACTAGTCCTACTGAATATTCAGCTTTATTTTCCCTTCTCTAGTGGGTATAAAATGGCATATTGCAAGATTGCTTTGTGCTTAATTACTAGCAAGGATGAATATTATAATTCATATGTGAATGGTCTAATAACTGTTGACAGTTCTTATCCACTTTACTGAAAGGTGGTGTTTTTATAGCAAATTTCAATGTGCCCTTTGAACATCACAGATATTATTCCTGTCACATTTGATGCAAATAGTTACCATTTGTTACCTTTAAATGTTCTTTTTATCATACAAAGGCTTTGAAATGTTAGACTTAAAATGTCAATCTCCTGCGTTAGTCTCATTCTGGGCCACTGTTCCTTCTACACTCCACCCATAATGAAGTATTTCTGTCTTTACAGATCTTCAAAAGCCATGCTTTGTTGACTCTGAGCCTTAGCACACACTGTCCCTTAGTACCTGGATAAAGTCCTATCTGTCCCTCAAGACTGCTCAGGCAATACTGCCTCTGGAAAAGCCATGAATAAGCCCCATCCTCAAAGCAGGACAAAATTTCACTGGCTTGTGTGAAAACCTCTATTTTTTTGATCCTATCACATTGTACACCCATTGTATATTTATCTTTTCTTTCCACCAGACTTTAAGCTCTTTAACAGACTTGTCTGTGTTTTTGCCCTGAGAATAAAAAAAGTACCCGTGCACAGTAAAAAAGTATGGTTTTGGATGTACGGTAGACTGAGTGATTTATGGCAAAGGACATGCTGCTGAACATCATTGTACTCTAAAAACAAAAGTTAAGAAGCGATCAAAATAGGTTCAAGTTAACATTTTAGTGTATATAATTAAAGAAAAATATTTAAATACATTACCAAAGACTTGGGTAACATTACACTTTTTCTCTTAAATAGATTCTTCTTAATAAGACACCCTACAACTACCAGGATGAGTACTAGAAAGAGTACAAAAGCAGCAACAACTGGAATCCAAATGGAATCTAAAAAAGGGGCAAAATCACAAATTAGAATTAAGATGGAATACTGCTATATCCAAAAGTCTATCAAAAAGTCTTAGAGTTATTCTTAAATAAATTTACACATTAGTTAATTAGCATGGTCAGAGTTTTAAAGAAAACTGAAACAGAAGTCAAGCAACCTCAGTAAAAAGTTAGCTGTCTGTTCTAGATAGCAGAATGACTCTTCCCAGCTGTGCAACTCTAAAACTTTCTGGAACTATACTGTCATGACATAATGTACTTAAAATAGCTTTTTCATAACAATTTCCTTATAGCCCCAAATAAAGGGTGTTTCTAGGGTTAAAATTTTCTCTCAGTTAAAAAGGGAAAAGGAGAATTTAAAATATCTCTCTTTAGAAATAAACTTTGGTAATGTTTATTTTTATTTGTTTTTATCTTCTGGCAGCTGGTGGGTATAGGAATCCGAACCCTTGAATTTTGGCAATGACTGTAACTCAAAATAATTTAACCCCACTCAGTTTTTTTCTGTTACATTTATTTATTTCAAGACTAGAAATACTTAATATTGCACAGGAATAAAGTTCCCTTGATTACAAATCAGATATAAAGAATAATATAATAGGTAAGATTTGCTTCAGAGCGCACACATTTATAATTGCTATGGTGTATTTTGCTCTGATGCTGCTTTTTCTTTTTGTGGCATACTCTGTATTTTTTTCTTCACAGTCCTCTCTTCCAAGTTAACAGTACTCTACATGCTGTGCAGTGTTTGGCTTCCTTTGTGGCATTTTATTACCTCTAATTCCTATTCCTGAGTTAATTCTTTGGAAAAGTAACTGGATGTTACAAGTTAATAAATGCTTTTATCATGCTTGTTAACTAATACCAGTACTGTGTCAGAAGTCCCACGGGCTGGGGAAGTGCAGTATGCAAGGCCCTTAGATAGGCAGGCAGAGATTGTTGTTCACGAACCACAGTGGTGCCACCATGTGGCCAAAATGCCAGCCAGTTTATAGTTCAGGAAGCATTAAAAAAAAAAAAATCTGGGGCATTCACATTATTTCAAATTTGGTGCATTAAGTAGGATTATATTTTTCAAATTGCACAATGCAAATCAGCATAAAATGCACTGTATTATTTTAAGTAATCTATTTGAAACCTTCATATAATGGCCTGCAAGTTATTAGTGTTAAATTTTAGATGTCTGGTCTGACTCTTTAGCCTAGATTTCCATTCTTCAAAAAGATACTTGTACACGATAGCTAAGAGATGGAACCAAAGCTAAATGTCCATCCATGGATGAATGGATAAAAAAACTGTTATATATACACAATGGAATACTACTCAATTATTTTAAAAAATATCCTATCATTTGCAGTAACATGGATGGAACTGGGAACAATCACGTTAAATGACATGAATCAGGCACAAAAAGACGATATCACTCATAAGTATAATCTAAAAAAAATGTTTTTCACAGAAGTAGGGAGTAGAATAATGGTTAGCAGAGGCCATATGGGGACCGGGTGCGGGGGAGGGAAGTGGTGAACTAATAGGTACAGAACTCTGCTGTCTACCCTAAGGGAATCATTGTGCAGTATATGCATGTGTTGAAACAACAGCTGTATCCTACAAATATGTACAAATGTTAAAATAAAAAAATAGAAAAAAAGATACTTGCATCATAAAATTTTAGAACATTTTTTAACCTAATATATTCTAAAAACATTGTAACAATAGGAAAAAATATATATACACACAACGACAGTCATCAAAGCATGATTTATCACAATAAAAACCTATGATCTTGGAAGTCCAAAAATTGGGGAACATTATAAAAGAAAATTACATGATAAAATATTCTACACAGATTAAGCCATATTAATCAAGTATGTGAAATAAAATGGAAAAATATTTATAATATATGCTTAAAGAAGTACATAAAACTATATATACTATACAATATGATCATGGCTACATAGAAAATCTAAAGACAAAAAATAGGACAAAAACATCAAACTGTGAATAATGGGGTACTTTTTGGGATAGCAGAACTACAGATAACTTTGTTTTTTCTGGTTTTTTATATTTTATAAATTATCTACAATGAACATTTAAATTTCATAACTGCAAAGAACACCCAAACTTTTTTAAAGGTACCTGCCACTTGAGAATGCCAGTTCTAAAGTTCTATTATATGTATCCCCTGCCCCCCTCCCTCCCACAAGGAAAAGATAAGGTAAAATTAATTATTTTAAAATGTTATAAGAACGATCCACAATCCACTATTCAAACTGGTCTATGTTTATTTTTGGATATTAATTTCCAGTCCTTGTCCAGTTCACATGTCATACAGTTTTAATCAATGAGTATACTTGCTATTCAGTTTTTGAACTTACAATCCCCATATAGAACATTTTAATGGATTCATAACATTTTGCTATGTTGAAGCATGAAATTGACATTATTTCTCATAATTCTGAAATGTAGATATTTATTTTTTTTTTTTGTCTTTTTCCGTGTCCGGCAACGGATCGCAACCCTCAGTGTCGCCCCCGCACCTCGCTCAGCCAGTGAGCGGGAACCGGTCTGTATGTGGGATCTGAACCCTCGGCGGGAGCGCCGCCGTGCTCCCAAGCGGCGCACTGTAGCAGCGCGCCACCGGGCCGGCCCAGTGAAATGTAGATATTTTTTTTTTTTTTTGTCTTTTTCCGTGTCCGGCAACGGATCGCAACCCTCAGTGTCGCCCCCGCACCTCGCTCAGCCAGTGAGCGGGAACCGGTCTGTATGTGGGATCTGAACCCTCGGCGGGAGCGCCGCCGTGCTCCCAAGCGGCGCACTGTAGCAGCGCGCCACCGGGCCGGCCCAGTGAAATGTAGATATTTTTTTTTTTTTTTGTCTTTTTCCGTGTCCGGCAACGGATCGCAACCCTCAGTGTCGCCCCCGCACCTCGCTCAGCCAGTGAGCGGGAACCGGTCTGTATGTGGGATCTGAACCCTCGGCGGGAGCGCCGCCGTGCTCCCAAGCGGCGCACTGTAGCAGCGCGCCACCGGGCCGGCCCAGTGAAATGTAGATATTTATGCATATAGTTTTATGTGTTATATTTTTTTCTTTCCTGGGTCAAAAGGCCATAGCATGTCTTTCCAAATTGGTTGTTTTATATCTTTTAATGCCTGAGATGCTACCTTATTTTAAATTTTCAACTTCTCTGAGGAATGAAACTACTGAATATTTTTAAGAGAAAACAGATTACTTGAAATTGCAAATGAATTTGCCTCTTTCCACATTATCCTATTGTGGTTATCATTCTCCTTATTTAAGAAAAAATGGCGAGAATTTACCTTTCATGCTGGTAGTGGAAACAGTAATACAAATTTCTTCTGACTTTTCAGTTGTAACTTCCCATGTGTTTGAATATCCTTCTGCTGAAACACAGTACCGAGAATTCACTGAAGATACTGGAATACTCAAATGGCACTGAGTCTCGTTGCAATCATCTTCTGTCTCTACGTGTCTTCTCTCTAGAAACTGTATGGAAAAAAAAAAAAAAAAAAAAAAAAAAAAAAAAAAAA